AAAGAACACTTAAGACCTGAATCAGTGTTTAACCCCTGTGCCCACCTTTAAGTGATAAATCTATTTGTGTATGTGTTCAAGTATCTAAGTCACAAAGTCTTTGATCAGTCTTTTGTTCAATGCCTTATCTATATTACCACACACACACACACACACACACACACACACACACACACACACACACAATGTATTTCCATTACATTTAGATAAATGGGTGAATGAATTGCTGATAGTGTATTATGGTGATCTGGATGAGGAATTTCCAGGACCGCTGAGGAGACAACAAGGGGAAAGAGGTGATTTCCACTGTCCTCAGTCTCCAGAGAAGAAACTGCCAATCAATAACACTATTCATAAGTCTACAAAGAGGCAGTAAGCATATGGTGGCTTGTACTGAAACATCACAGTGACCCAGTTGGTAAACAGACATGTCACTGATGTTTGCAGGACAACAGTGGACAGATGTAGAGTAGAATAGCAAAATCTATGACCCAGTGGATTTGGCCTGTTTATGGTTAATGGATCTGCCATTTGCATAGTTAGGTGACAGATTTTTTTTTTTTGCCACACTGGCATGGGGGCATAAAACGATACATAGACATATGCACCTATGCATTTGCACACACACAGAAAGTACCTCCAGACTCACAGACTGAAACTGAAAAGCTGCTAGTGTCACTGTACGATACCATGAGAACAGTTCATGGTTCAAGCCCTTGAGTCTGCAGTTGTACAATCTCCCTCTATTCTACACTCTCAAATATAAATCAAGACCTCTAATGCGCACACACACACACACACACACACACACACACTCACGCCTGGAAACTCCACGACCTCATTTCCCTGAGCTACCACACTTGAGAAGTGGAACCTAAAAAGGCATTAACGCCGCAGTTAGAGGCAGGATATAAAGACCAGCTAAACAAAAACCCAGGGCAGAAAACTGCAGTCCTCAACACCTGCAGTGAAATAGGAGTGTGTTTGTGCACTGCAAACAGAAAGACGGCACAGGACTGGATTAGCGAGGATGGAGGAGAAACAAGCATGTCGAGCAGGGGGACCCGGCCGCAACCATTGACCCAAGTGAGATTCAGATAACGGTTAGCACAGAAAAAAACAGTCTCATTCTGTACAATAAATGTAGGTGTTCTTCGGAGACAGGTGAGGACAAAAGTAATGTCCTGCTGCTAGAGCCTTCATATAAAGACCTACTAACACACACACACAGTATAATGGATGTGTAGTCAAGACAAGAGGGGATGATCACTGGGTTACCATTGAAGGATTTAGGAGAGAGTGGTCTAAAAGCGTAAATGTCACTTACTAATTGACTGACTGGTTTTATAGATTTGGTCAAAAACAAGTTGCAGCAACTGTTAAACAGACTATGTTCCTATTTACAATGGTGTTGTGTGTGTAAACAGCGGAGTAGTCTCATAGTCGCTCAGTGTATCCTGACAGTGTTTTGTGTAAACAAGGATGTAGCACATTAGACAGGTTCCAAAGAAATTGCAACCATTAATGCAATTACCCTTGTGTGGCGAGCAAACATGTCAATGACTCTGAGCAATAAGCATTTCAAATTAACTGTGAGCCACTTTAAAAGTGGCTTTGAACAAACGGTTGGAGTGGTTTTTTTAGTAATGTTTTCCAGTTCCCATCTACACATACACGGCTGGAGTCATCATAAGAAAGTGCTTTTTGCTTGTGTCTACAGATGAACAATTTATGTAGTAAGTATGTTAATAACAGTAATAATAGTTTGAAAGCATGAGTCCAACTTTGTTTTTCCAAATATCCCTTATTTTATGTTTGGGAGCCATCTTGTCACAAGTTTTGAATTTTCATGAAACAGCTTCAAACTTTGAATGTGGATATAAAACACCCTGTACACTTAGCTTGTGCAGTTATTCAGATTTTGCACAGTTCAAACTTTAACTCACCTAAACTTCTTAATCATCTCTGAAATGCTGCAAGCTTTGGAAATGTCTGCCTTGTATTTTAATTCCCTCCATACCTGCATAATTAATGCATTTGTCAACAGAGATATGACTCATCCCTTACATGCGCTGCACCGAGCTGGGAGACTGTTTGCTGCTGAATCACGATACATTTCACGGATTACATAGAGAGCGCTCCTGGCGTATACCTGGCAGAAGTCATGGTTTGCTGGTTGTTGTTTTAAAGGAGAGCGGGATGACGGGTGTTTAGGGACTAAGAGCGAGAATCGTTGACAGCATACTATCTGAGGCGACTCATTCAGCCTGCTGTGGGATCTGTAGCATGCCTTGACTAAAGAGAGACAGACAGCACTGGAGCACTGTTACACAACAGACCACATGCACAGGCCTGGGTGACAGGTGAGAGTGAGGCAATAAATAAGATAACAAAACGGAGGCAAATGAAAAGCAGAAGGAGAGATGTGGAAGGAAAAGAAAATGACAGACAAAGCATTTAGAAGAGGGTGGGGGGGATGAAAGAAGTAACCAAATTATTCAGCTTATCACTCACACTAATATTGAGCATATCAAACAAGTGCAAGAGACAAAAATATTCAGAAAAACTAATTTTGGAAACTGTCTGAATTGGGAATTTTTGTTTTAACTACTGTCCAACTTCTTTCAAACCAGGTAACTGCTGTGTTTTAATATTTTAAATGCAAGGGAAGAGAATGGAAAGTGATAGAGAGGAGGAGCATTTGACTGTATAAGTCAATAAGTGCTGTAAGAGAAAATGATATGTTAGAATTGACATTGGGTTCAGTTTATCAGGGTGAATGGTTCTGACATCCTCAGAGAGGAACAACACCATGAACTCTGTAAATCGCCAACAGGCAACACTTTAAAACTTTGTGTTCTAATCATGTGAAACCTCTTTAAAAATTGGTTCAATTAAAGAGGAGCACACTGAGGCTGCGGCTATGCTTGACGAATTGAACATTGGATGCGCCAACGTTGACACGACGCCTCTCCCTTTCATACTCCTGCTTAACAACACTGCCGGTAAAAGGCAAAGAAGATAAGGAAATGCAGACAGAACGGTTTGGGTACCTGCTCATTTCCTCCAGGATCATCGCTTCTGGCTTGTGCAATGTTTATTTTAGCCTTGAAAATCCATTCACAGAGGATTTTCAATAGTCTTATCAACAGTCCCTGCAATCACACTCCAGGAGCCATCTGGGAATGTCTATGCTACTTTATTGGCATTCATTTTGTGCTAGATGTGCCACACTTGCCCAATCCAAAAAGTTAATAGGGTCTAGACCAGACGAAAGGAGGGCGTGCTCCAGCAGAAATTATGCCATTTCTGGTGCGTGCCACCGCGTGCAAGGAAAGGAACAACGAACATAAACAAGGCTAAACATCACAACACCTAAAACAACTGATTTGATCTTGATCATTTTCAGTTTAACTCCTTGTAGATATATTTCTCCAGCCACTCAACACCAGACAGTAGTTGCAATGCTGCATCTGTGATTCTATTTATTTCTCTCAACAAGAAGTGTTCTCTCAGAATAAGACTATGGTGATCTATCTACACAAACCCGTCTCTGTGCTACACAAACCAACTGTTAAGGTTGTCTTCTGGTCTGAGCAGGAACATGTGGGTCTGTGTTTCAGAGGGAAACTTGATGCCATTCTGCCCTTTTCTCTCCCTCGACAAAACCTGTCAATATCTCACTCTGTTGCTGTTCACTAGTCTGGAAATAGAGAGTGATGGTACCGTTTAGAGCCAAGTGTGAATACAGTCTGACATAAGGCCTGACAATAGAACAGACAGTCTCTGTTTGCAAGAGACCTAAGATTAGACAGGACCACGAGGAATTCCCTGCTGGAGAGATTAGAGAGATGTTGCTTTTCACAGAGTATTGATGCAGACTGGCTGTGTGTGTGTGTGTGTGTGTGTGTGTGTGTGTGTGT